ATGTTTGCTAGTCTACCTTGCCACGAAGCACAGAGGTTGACACACAGGGACTTTCCAATTATCCAGCAGTGGTACTGTTCCTTTACCCTTGTGGGTAATAATATGGTAGCTAGACCTTCAAAATTTATGGGTCTAAACTTTGTTAGTGCTGTTTCTTTGCTATTCTTTTACCCTTCTTGGTCAGAGCGATGTAGTGGGAGCTGCAAGCTTCACGTGCTCAACTTTGGCAGAGAACTTTGGCAAAGTTATCTGTGGTACCCATGAGCTATTGTTGCGTGTGGGAAGTGGGTGATTGAACAGTAAGATTCATGTGTTTTCTACTTCCCCAGAAGTCTTCGACAGAATGCCCATAATTTCCGCAAAGCTGAGTGTGCGTGTGACAGGTGCTGACAAGGCTGGAAAAGTAGGTGCCTCTTCGATTTCTGAGATCGGCCCTCGTGGTCTCTGGGGAGCCCAGCTTTTGAGAAAGCGAGCGCCTCTTCGATTTCTGAGATCGGCCTTCGTGGTCTTTGAGCAGCCCAACTTTTGAGAAAGCAAACGCCTCTTCGATTTCTGAGATCAACCCTCGTGATCTCTAAGCAGCCCAGCTTTTGAGAAAGCAAACGCCTCTTCGATTTCTGAGCAGGCGCCTCTTCGATTTCTGAAGCTCCGTCGAGTGCAGATTTTTATAGGGGCTGGCATTAAGTTCCAAAGCACACTTGAATCTCCACCAGTAGAAGCTTCATTCTTGCACTTCTAAGATCTTGATTTGTCCGACCTCTTCTCTCTTCAACACCTTTGAAAATGTCTGGCCCCTCCGACCGTCGTTTTGACTTGAACCTTGTTGAAGAGGCAGCCCCGCCTTCTCCAGACAACATATGGCGCCCATCCTTCGTCTCCCCTACTGGTCCTCTTACCGTTGGGGATTCCGTGATGAAGAATGATATGACCGCTGCGGTGGTGGCCAGGAACCTTCTCACTCCCAAAGATAACAGACTACTTTCCAAACGGTCTGATGAGTTAGCTGTTAAGGATTCGCTGGCTCTCAGTGTTCAGTGTGCAGGTTCTGTGTCTAATATGGCCCAACGCCTATTTGCTCGAACCCGCCAAGTTGAATCATTGGCGGCTGAAGTGATGAGTCTCAAACAGGAGATTAGAGGGCTCAAGCATGAGAATAAACAGTTGCACCGGCTCGCACATGACTATGCTACAAACATGAAGAGGAAGCTTGACCAGATGAAGGAAACTGATGGTCAGGTTTTACTTGATCATCAGAGATTTGTGGGTTTGTTCCAAAGGCATTTATTGCCTTCGTCTTCTGGGGCTGTACCGCGTAATGAAGCTCCAAATGATCAACCTCTGATGCCTCCTCCTTCTAGGGTTCTGTCCAGTACTGAGGCTCCAAATGATCCCCCTCCGGTGCCTTCTCTTTCTGGGGCTCTACCGACTGCTGAGACTTCTCCTAAGCAACCTTTGTGAAGGCTCCCTCTTGTGTGTTTATTTTGACTCATGTATATGTACATATTTGTAGCTTATCGGGGATATCAATAAATAAGCTTTCCTTCATTTCAACGTATTGTGTTAAATACACCAAAGCCTTCTTCGCTAAGTTCTTTGAATTTTCTTTTGTTGAAGCTTGTATGTTGAAGCTTTCTGAGTGGAGCATGTAGGTTGGGGTAGTGTTCCCTTAATTTCCCGAGTGAGGAAAACTTCTCGGTTGGAGACTTGGAAAATCCAAGTCACTGAGTGGGATCGGCTATATGAATCTTAGAACGCCATTGTGCTCGATCCTGTGTCATGTCCTTCGTTAGATCCAAGTACTCTAAGTCTTTTCTTAGAGTCTCTTCCAAAGTTTTCCTAGGTCTTCCTCTACCCCTTCGGCCCTGAACCTCTGTCCATAGTCGCATCTTCTAATCGGAGCGTCAGTAGGCCTTCTTTGCACATGTCCAAACCACCGTAACCGATTTTCTCTCATCTTTCCTTCAATTTCGGCTACTCCTACTTTACCCCGGATATCCTCATTCCTAATCTTATCCTTTCTCGTGTGCCCACACATCCAACGAAGCATCCTCATCTCCGCTACACCCATTTTGTGTACGTTGTTTCACCGCCCAACATTCTGTGCCATACAGCATCGCCGGCCTTATTGCCGTCCTATAAAATTTTCCCTTGAGCTTCAGTGGCATACGGCGGTCACACAACACGCCGGATGCACTCTTCCACTTCATCCATCCAGCTTGTATTCTATGGTTGAGATCTCCATCTAATTCTCCGTTTCTTTTGCAAGATAGATCCTAGGTAACGAAAACGGTCGCTCTTTGGTATTTCTTGATCTCCGATCCTCACCCCTAACTCGTTTTGGCCTCCATTTGCACTGAACTTGCACTCCATATATATTCTGTCTTTGATCGGCTTAGGCGAAGACCTTTAGATTCCAACACTTCTTCTCTCCAAAGGTTAAGCTTTGCATTTACCCCTTCCTGAGTTTCATCTATCAACACTATATCGTCTGCGAAAAGCATACACCAAGGAATATCATCTTGAATATGTCCTGTTAACTCATCCATTACCAACGCAAAAAGGTAAGGACTTAAGGATGAGCCTTGATGTAATCCTACAGTTATGGGAAAGCTTTCGGTTTGTCCTTCATGAGTTCTTACGGCAGTCTTTGCTCCTTCATACATATCCTTTATAGCTTGGATTGGATATATGCTACTCGTACTCCTTTCTTCTCTAAAATCCTCCAAAGAATGTCTCTTGGGACCCTATCATACGCTTTTTCCAAATCTATATAAAGACCATGTGTAAATCCTTTTTTCCCATCTCTATATCTTTCCATCAATCTTCGTAAGAGATAGATTGCCTCCATGGTTGAGCGCCCTGGCATGAACCCGAATTGGTTGTCCGAAACCCGTGTCTCTTGCCTCAATCTATGCTCAATGACTCTCTCCCAGAGCTTCATTGTATGACTCATTAGCTTAATACCCCTATAGTTCATGCAATTTTGTACGTCGTCGCCCTTATTCTTGTAGATAGGCACCAAAGTGCTCGTTCGCCACTCATTTGGCATCTTCTTCGTTTTCAAAATCCTATTGAAAAGGTCAGTGAGCCATGTTATACCTGTCTCTCCCAAAAGTTTCCACACTTCGATTGGTATATCGTCTGGGCCTATTGCTTTTTTATGCTTCATCTTCTTCAAAGCTACAACCACTTCTTCCTTCCGGATTCGACGATAAAAAGAGTAGTTTCTACACTCTTCTGAGTTACTCAACTCCCCTAAAGAAGCACTCATTTCATGTCCTTCATTGAAAAGATTATGAAAATAACCTCTCCATCTGTCTTTAACCGCGTTCTCTGTAGCAAGAACCTTTCCATCCTCATCCTTGATGCACCTCACTTGGTTTAGGTCCCTTGTCTTCTTTTCCCTTGCTCTAGATAGTTTATAGATATCCAACTCTCCTTCTTTGGTATCTAGTCGTTTATACATATCGTCGTAAGCCGCTAAACTTAGCTTCTCTGACAGCTTTCTTCGCCTCTTGCTTCGCTTTTCTATACCTTTCACCATTTTTCATCGGTCCTCTCCTTGTATAAGGCTTTACAACATTCCTTCTTAGCCTTCACCTTTGTTTGTACCTCCTCATTCCACCACCAAGATTCCTTTTGGTGTGGGGCAAAGCCCTTGGACTCTCCTAATACCTCTTTTGCTACTTTTCGGATACAACTAGCCATGGAATCCCACATTTGGCTAGCTTCCCCCTCTCTATCCCACACACATTGGGTGATTACCTTCTCTTTGAAAATGGACTTGTTTTTTCTTCTTTTAGATTCCACCATCTAGTCCTTGGGCACTTCCAAGTCTTGTTCTTTTGTCTTACTCTTTTGATATGTACATCCATCACCAACAAGCGATGTTGATTAGCCACGCTCTCTCCTGGTATAACTTTGCAATCCTTACAAGTTATACGATCCCCTTTCCTCATTAGAAGAAAATCTATTTGTGTTTTTGACGACCCACTCTTGTAGGTGATCACATGTTCTTCTCTCTTCTTAAAGAAGGTGTTGGCTAAGAAGAGATCATATGCCATTGCAAAATCCAAGATAGCTTCCCCATCCTCGTTTCTCTCCCCAAAACCATGGCCACCATGAAAACCTCCATAGTTGCCTGTCTCCCTGCCCACGTGTCCATTTAAATCTCCTCCTATAAATAACTTCTCCGTCTGAGCAATTCCTTGCACCAAGTCTCCAAGATCTTCCCAAAATTTCTCCTTCGAACTCGTATCCAACCCTACTTGAGGTGCGTACGCACTAATCACATTGATAAGTTCTTGTCCTATTACAATCTTGATTGCCATGATTCTATCTCCTACCCTCTTGACATCTACAACATCTTGTACCAAGGTCTTGTCCACGATGATGCCAACACCGTTTCTCGTTCTATTTGTGCCTGAATACCAAAGTTTAAACCCTGAGTTTTCTAGATCCTTTGCCTTACTACCAACCCACTTAGTTTCTTGTAGGCACATAATATTTATCCTTCTCCTCACCATAACTTCCACTACTTCCATAGATTTTCCCGTTAAGGTTCCTATATTCCACGTTCCTAAACGCATTTTGCTCTCTTGAACTCTACCCTTCTGTCCTAGCTTCTTCACCCTCCCCCGTCTAATAGGATCAAAGTACTTCTTTTGTGTGTCCCGGGTAAAGTTGATAGGAGCATATGCTCCCAAACAACTTTGAATGGAGTCGTTCGAAAAGAAGTTTCTATGGCCCCCTTGCTCATTTAACACTGCATCCGGGTGCCGATGGAGATACAGCGACCCTTGCTCACTTATCACTGTGTTCGGGCCACACAGCGCGCCACTTACGGGTGACGCCCTAGCTTTAGCGCGATTTTGTTCTGGATTCATTTTCATAAGGATTCGACGTGATCATGGAGTGCCGGCTGTCGACTACCTGACGCCCTCCCCCTCCTCCTTTATCCGGGCTTGGGACCGGCCATGTAAGACATAGGCGGAGTTGCATTCAACAATCAACATTCACATAAAATTAAAAATAAAACAAAACAAAATGATATACATAATATCTGCCGAAGTTTCAGTAAACCAATTCCCAGACTGTTCTATCTACCAAACATTTGCAGATCTATGGTCCACTTTTATGATATTCACCCCGATACCCACATTATTCGCAAAACCATATTGTACAGATCTTCTTAGCACCCGAGCCAAAGATGATAACAATGAAGGCAACTACAAATATTGTACATTGAAATAATAAACACACGCTAACATAATTAACGACACTAAACAAACCTGATTCATTGATCCTGCTACTCTTATTCCTTCCAATACCACCAATTAATCCATTCTTGAAACTGCTGCGCGGAAGCCACTTTAAAATGGGATGACAATAACAAAATGAAGCGGTTGCAGCCTCCCAACGTAGCTCAATATGTACAGATTTATAAAAGCAAGCACCTCAACAGGGAATGCGAAGAACGTTATTTTCCATGGAACCTCTGAGTTACGCATCAATGGTTTGCAAGACTGACTTTGTAGGGTTTGAATCCCCTCTTCCACTGGGTTTTGATCTAGCCTTGATGGGTTTCTGAGAACTCGGCGTCCCTTTGACATTAGATCTGATAGGATGTCTGGAAGTTTGTGAGACATTACTTCCTCCTGACCAACCCAAATTGAAAATGAAAAATATTTAGCCACACAAATATAGGTGGTTTCCTAAAAGGTAGGAATAAACATCATAGTGCATTGCTTATTTACGTGTTGGAATTCATGTGAATTCGTCAGATTTGGATTCATGTGAGTCCATCGAGAATTGGATAGCAACCAATCTTAAAAATGAGCTATACATAAACATGAACTTATTGGGGTTTGTATCCGGACAAACTTCAAACCTATTGGAGGGAAAATGAAGTAAACTACATGTCAAATAAGCCATAAGGCAGTTGGTTGAATTAAGAAACTGATGGTAACTGCCATGTTGATGGGATGAGGCAGTTACCAACATTAAAGGAGTGGATTGGTCCCTCTTCTTGGTACACAACTGATGTCCATCTAGGAGTGATTGCCCATCGAAAATCCTGAGCATTTTGCAGTGTGTACAAGAGAAGGGAAGACATCACAACCGAGAGGATCATGGCTGCAAGTTCAGGTTTATATACTTATTGCAGTTCCATTAGGGTTTGTAATGATGCTGTATTTACTGCAGCGAACACTAGGGTTTACACTTGTATAATTATATTAAAGAACATGTAGTTTAGTTACTTAGTTCATTGGATCCTTGTACTAAAGAGATTACATTACGATGCAGCATTTAGTCCCTTGGGGAAATGACATCAAGCATACGCCACCTGCGTATTCTAGAAACAGATATGGCTATCTCAAGGCTTTTTGTTTTCCGGGGAGCTTTATAAATTGAGATAAAAAAAATTAAAAAAAACACATTAAGAAAAAGCCTGGATGTGCTGCTAATTCACAGAGATGAGCTCATACAATATATATAGAGAGGGAGGGAGGGAGAGAGAGAAAGACTCACTGCTATTTGGCAGAGACAGCCGCTTCTTTGCCCGTTTGTCTGATTCTGTGGCTCTCTCTTTTGGATTACTATGGGATCTTGAAGTAATAGCAGGTTTGGAGTTTCTTTCTTCAGCTGCACCATCCAAATTTGGCTTCGACTTTTGCTTTTCAAATTGGGTATTGGATGCCTCTAACATTCCGGCCGACTTAATAGGTGAAGAATCACAGCCATCAGAATGACACGGACCGGCTTTTTGACTTGAAATATTTGATTGAATATTTGAAGAAATAGGTTTCTTGCCAGCAGAATTTAATTGGGGCATACTGCTGTTCTTATCATCAGCTGATTCATCCACATGTACCATTACTCCATCCCTAAGATTAATATCTAGAAAGCGGTTCTCCCAGGGGCGGACAGCCATCCATCTTTCTAACCAGTTCCATCCCCAGCTGCTTTTATCTGGTTCAAACCCAGATGGAACTGGCAGCTGCCTTGATCCAGCTTGCCACTGCACAAAAACAAAAATCTTATGTGTAAGTTTGTGGGGGTGAACTAAATGCTTCTAACAATTTCCAACTGGGAAAAAAGACTTCTAATGACCCACTGCAGGTCAATATAAAAGATTGATGCAGCTGAGATGAATAATGTGTGTGTAACACAAACACACTAGAATTCCACAACTTCAAAGAAAAAAGCCATCAATCACATTCACATCGAAATGTCCAACAAACTTTATGATTTTTATGTTTTCCCTTACAATTTCAATAGGGTGCTGTTATTTTGGCACTCCAACAACAACAACAACAACAACAAAGCCTTTTCCCACTAAGTGGGGTCGGCTATATGAATCCTAGAACGCCATTGCGCTCGGTTTTGTGTCATGTCCTCCGTTAGATCCAAGTACTCTAAGTCTTTTCTTAGAGTCTCTTCCAAAGTTTTCCTAGGTCTTCCTCTACCCCTTCGGCCCTGAACTTCTGTCCTCTACCCCTTTTGGCACTCCAAATTTTTTAATTTTTTGAACAAACGATATTATCTACACTAAGGGGGTGGGGGAGTGGGCTAAGCCTCGCAATGGTCTAGCAATAATGTAGTTCAAATTCGCCTTTGGAGAGAATCGAACCTAAGACCTCTCACTTACAAATGAAGAGGAATACCACTATACCGTAGTACTAAGTGGCTACTCATTTGTTATTATGTTAATAAGAATCAGTGGTAAAGTATGTGACAAGCCTTGTCCATCATACCAAAAAGGAACATGTTTACCTCAACCAGCGAACTTATTTTAAAAGAATTCTATTTGTTATCTCTGTCTGCCTCAGAAACAAATTCGTAGATAAGTGTCTTAACAATTTGTTTGATGGCTAAAGTAAACTTCAATTTAATGGGAATCAAATTGAGGATTCGGAAATCACCACAAAACACACTGGTCTAATTATATAATGAAATTCAGTTTTGCTTAATGATGATTTCTAGAAGTAGCTGGCCCAACTTCAAACAAATTATATTGGTTGAAACTTCTGTTTGAAACAAAAGACCTAGTAAAACATTATTTGTTATATTTATTATACTAGCTAAATATCATATTAAAGCTCAGAATCCTAAACTGAAGTCACTACTTTCCCACTCCAGATGATTATGTTTCAACATTTATGCTCCTCCTTTCATGTCGTGTCTTTCCTTTCAATCTTCCGTTCAATGCAATCCATAAACAAATTCAAAGACAAATATGCTGCTACAAGGAAATCAACAGAGCGGTTATCATGTGTCACCTGATGAGCAAGAGCATATGCCATGGCTCTCTCACGCTTAGCAGCAGCCTCCTGCCTCTTCAACAACTTGGCTTGAATTTCTTGAACAGATCCTACACTGTCACACCACCCTTCCTGCACCAGAGTCAAAAGCAAGAAGAAGCTGTCAACTTCGTGAGTCTGATCCTACACTGTCACACCATCCTTCTCCACTCGCCTAAGACTTCGCCTTTTAAAACATTGATCCCATGTACAAAAAGTGAACACTAAAAACTAAAAACTTAAAACGAAATAGTTATCAAACCAGCCCGAAGTGTACAAGACACACTTAAACCAACCACAGAGAATATAAGGTTAAATAGAATAACACTGACTGCCAGATTGCTCACGATCCTAATCAAGCTGAGCCTACCTTGTGTTGTCCCTACCTTTTACTTGCAAAGAAATATTTTTGGGATATTAATACATTACAACAGAAAGGAGTCCATCACAAAAAGAGAAAGAAAGTATAGCTGCAATTTTCATGACAAATCTGAACTACTAAAAAATGTTGGCTAAAAACTGCCCTCCTATCTAGATGAATATTGGACAGAGGTATACCACTGAAGTCAGTTGAAGGTTGAAATGGATGCCCACATAGAGAGGCAAAACCTAGCCCTGTCCCATTATTTCCCTCTAAATGCATTGAGATTCTCTAATCACCTCCAGCTTCTTTTGCGTTTAGTTTCTGAACCATAGCTGTCTCGTTTGCCAGCCCTTAGACAGTTAGTTACAGGGATGCCTTTACTAATTTTTTGAGTATTTATACTCCCAGGTTTTAACTCCACCTAAAATGAGAGAGCTAAATCCTAAATCCTAAACTTCAAAACAAAGATTCTACAAGAACCCTTAGGCATAAGCTACTAAATTCTATAAGAGAAAACCACAGTAATCCATAATAGAACTTAAAAAGAAAAAATGTAATGTTTTCAGAGGTGAAATAAAGTTGGAAAAAGAGCTCTGCGCTATAGAGTTGGGCTCCTAATTGGAGGTTTGCAATAATTTCCTATCAAATTACAAAGCAGAACAATGGAAAAACATGAAAATAATGACTCCCATCTGCACAGTATACTGTTTTGTAATTAAAGTAGACACAGTATCTACACTTGCTTACTTCTATTTCTCGGACACGAGCCTCGTTTGCAAGTTGTTCATGAAGCCTTTGTTGAGCCGTTTGACCTTCCAATGCCAGGCGAACGCGCCTTGCTCGCACTCTAGCCTGAACTCTAACTAAAGCTTGCATACAGCGAAGAGTTATTGCCGCTTGTTTTCTCACAGCATGGCCTCTGACAAGGGCTTGAAGTCTCACCAATCCTTTTAAAGCTCGAAGAGCTCTTCTAGCCTGATATTTATCACCAAAAAATTATAATGTGATGACAAAAAAAATATGAAAAAAGGTCAATAAATCAAATTATATGGACAAACACAACATGCAGCCACTGTCAATAAAGTACAAACTTTGAAGATGTGGTAGATTAAATGAAGATTGCAGAACAAACCCTTATGCAAAAAGCTTTCTGAAACAATAAACATTTGCATTTTTTCTCTTCGACATGTCAGTCCAACTATTCAAGCCACCAACTCTGACTAAACAAATACATTCTAGGTTGCTTCACAGAAAAAAAAAAACTTGTCAACCAATACAAAATGGCATGTTTGCCAAACCACAAAATGAAAAATGTTTATAAATTCAATTAGCCATCTCTACATGCTTAATGATGACCTGACTTTTTCAGCTTAAGGCTTGGTAGTTGCATACAAATCAACATTTTATTTTGTCACAAAATAACCTGATAAACTGCCAAACTGAATCTTGATCTATGCTTGAGAAATAAGCTTGATTATGCAAACAAAAGATTGCTGTCAATTTTATTGGAGCTCATTTAGAAAGTTAAGCAGTATTACCTTTTTCTTTTCGTGTGGTTACTGAAATGCTAATGGGTGGTACCTTCAGCAATTTTTATAGTTAAGGGACTGTTTAGTTTTTTGTGGTTAAACTCTAAGGGGCAGTTTAGGATAGGCATGTGATTGCAGAAACTAATATGACAGATATGGAATTTTGGAATTTTATCACTCCAGTAATATTATGATATGCAAGTCCAACTTCTACTTTCATTTTTCCTTTGTCTATAAATGTAAGCATGTGCGCATATCAAATCCTTCATTATTTCTATTAATTAACACTTATTCCTGTACCAATTTTTGAAAAGAAAAACAAAACATATACTATTATATAATTGTTAGAGTAAAATGAGACTTTTGAAAGAAGAATTTGATATAAATTAAATTCATTTGAAAAAAGTCATACTTGAAGTAAGCAATACAAACATCATTATCAGTGCTCGATGAGTGCAAATAGAATTGAAAATTTTAATACCAGAAAGCCACGAAAGGCTGTTTGAATGCGTGTGGCAGCCCATTCTTCCCTAACATTCTGCTCACTTTCTGCATTGTGCATTTGAAGTGAGGCAGAAGAAGAATCCACAGCATCTGGGTTTAATTGAGTACTGGCATCTCCAACTGGTGGAGCAACATCTGCATCAAACTCACATTTAAGTCTATTTGTGTCAAACTCAATGGAATTCGTTCTCCTGTCCCGAAACTTGTAACCAGCTATTTTCTGCAATGATTGAAAACAGGGAAATAAGTCAGACAAACAGGTAGGTTTGGATAATGTAAAAATATCCCATAAGAAAACAAGTAAGATGGAGAAAAAATGTCATTGAAGTGTTTATCCAACATTGCAAGTGATTGGATGAAGAACAAGAAAGAAGAGGAAAAGAAATAGGAAGATATATAAGATTGGTATTGAAAGTCATGCTACCCACATTGTCATCTTTTTCAATAGATTGCGACTTTTCTGATTTCTTTAACAATGCCTTAATCCATTTTCCAGATACTCCCATGTCGTCAGTCACTTCAGCTCAACCAAATGAAGACCTGCTAAGGGAAAGTTTTTGACAGTTAAGTTGTAAGTACAGCAATAAGACTTATTAATTATTATAATATTACTTAATTTCCAAAAAGGATGCTTACTGATCTCTCACCTAAGGAACCATTGCTACCGGAATAATCACTTGTGTAAACTGGTGCACCAACCCAAAATTTCAGGCAACATCCTCATGTCTTTGAAAGCATTATAAACATGAAGCTGAAGTTTCAAAATATGCAGAGCCAAGTAACCGCACATATGAAGCGAATCAAACCGGAAAACAAGAGTGATATTTTATCACGAGTAATAATCATACAGATTCTAGAAACTCAACCATATATGGCATTGTCAATTGTCCTTAGGCCCAGATGTAAGCAATACTACCTCATAAGTTCATAGCAAAACTTGATAGAACTAAACAAAGATTCACCATAGAAACAGACCCTGTAACTTCCACAGCTAAGATTCAGTGGCTGAATATTAGTCATATTGTAAAAGCAGAGAGGCTAAAAACGCTTACAATTGGTAATACAGTACCCCAATCGCACAGTGATGTAGGACATGAAATAATATTATCAGAAGATGCAATTCATTTGACTTTTGAAATTCTTCTGAAAAAAACAGCTGACATACATTGAATATAAGGCAGCAATTATACTGTAGTGGGCTAGATTAAAATCTGTTACATGTATGAGTCTTAAATGAGGGGGGTTTAAGCATCTATAAATTCATGTATTTGTAAAGCAAAGTAGTAGAAGTTGTTAACTACTACATTCTAGCGGTATTCCTCTTCACTTGTAAGTGTGAGGTCTTAGGTTCGATTATTGCAAAAGGCGAATTTGAACCACATTATTGCTAGTCCATTGTGAGGCTAAGTGTAGATAATACCAATTGAATGAAATTACAAACCTCAATTGCGATCAACCAAAGCCATCCTCGACACTTAGTGAACACCCCCACTAAGCCCAAATTCAACCCCCTCCATTCCAAATGACCGAAATTCGCAACTTTCGAACAATCCAGACTGAACCCTCGAAAAAAAATTCCCTAGTAACAATAATAGAAAGAATTGGGCAAATAAACGCGGATCCACCGATCACCAACATAACATACTCAATTCACTCGAAGCCGGAAAATGGGACACAAGAAAACAGAGAGAGAGAGCAGTAAAAGGAGAGAGTAATCTGAGTGAAATTACAGAGAAAAGTTGGAGATACCTTGATCCATCAATCAATGGGGTCAAACTAGTTAAACCCTCAGTCAATTTCCCCTCTATCCTTTTCAATCTCTGCTCACTCGAATTGGAATTTGGAATTTGGAGCTTCAGTTTTTGCTTCTGCTTCGTTCAAAAGGGAATTTTGCAGTTTGAGATAAGAAAGGCCGGCAGGAGTGAGGACCGGTCGCTAATGTGCACCGGGAGGCTTGTTACAACTTTTTCTTGATACGGCGCCGTTGAGAGGGTCGGGTCCCTGTCACGCATGAGCCATAGTGTGTGTGACACAGTTAATCACGCGACGAATGCCACCCACCGAAATATAATGAAAAGCGCAAGTGGCCTTTAACAGTAATGTGATGGAAAATAATTGAATTTTTACATGACGGATTAAGTTCGAACTTCGTTGGTATCTAATTTAATTTATAATCTAACAAAATTTATTGATTGATAATATATATGTAGGGAGTGGTGAACGATTAGGTAGGCCTTTTTGCCCCTGTGCACGTTAGAGTTTGTTAACGTGATTGGTATTAAAAAGGGTATGTAAATATATTGTAAATATTAAAATTTTTTATTAGGAAGGATAGTTGTGTGTCCTTTATTGTTTCCTTATAGAACAAGGATTGTATCTTGTATATATTGTCTATTATGCAATACAATGAAAATTTTAAGCTGTAAAATTCAAGTTGGCATCAGAGCCTACCGTACCCTAGAAAAAATTCCCACCATACCCGTGTATCACAAAGAGGAAAGCAGCAAGGTTTCTGGTCTGTCGCTGCATCTTTGCAGCAAGCCAAACCCTTGTGTGTTGTGCCGTGTGTTCTGTATCACAGTACCATGCTGCTGCTGCTCGTATTAGAAGATATGCACCCTTGTTCGTTGCTGCGATTCTGCAGAAAGACAAAGGTGTCTCTGCCGTGATTGTTGGGATATTGCAGTTTGTTTTTCTTTTTTTCTGTGTTTTTGCATAAAAGCAACAACTGCCGTGTGGTGCTTTGCTGTTGGTCTCATATATATTTAAGGGAAAAAATAGTTGTAGTGTTTTTCAATGCAATTGCGACAATTGTTAGAGTAATTGATTGATTCAGCGTGTGGTTCCATAATTGGTGTGGTATTGTGATTGTCGTGTATTACTGTCTTATGAGTTATTACAATGACGAATGCTGGTTGGATTCTAGACTCGGGTGCAACCGATCACATGACTTTTGATAAGAATTTATTTACTAGTATGACAACCAGTTCACGGAAGTATATTGCAACTGCTACCGGAACAACAACACCAGTTTTGGGGGTCGGCACTGTGAACCTCACGCCAGCCCTTCCCCTTCATCATTGCATGCTTGTTCCCTCATTGTCTCATAATTTGTTATCTATTCCTCAAGTTATTGAGCAATTAGACTGTGTTGTACTTATGTATCCACTATTTTGTTTGCTTTAGGATATTCAGACCAAGAAGATAATTGGGCGTGGAACTAAGAGAGAAGGGTTATATTATGTGGATGACGTCGTTCCTGGTAGAGCTAATGCAGTTCGAGCATCCCGTACCAATAATTTACATGAAGTTTGGTTATTGCATCGTCGGTTAGGACACGCTTCGTTTGGGTATTTGAGGCGTATGTTGCCTAGTTTATTTCATGAAATAAAAGAATCAAACTTACATTGTAAGGTATGTATTCTCGTGAAGAGTCATCGCGTTTCGTTTCCTCCTAGTATGAATAAAAGATTGTTTCCTTTTGAACTTGTGCACTCTGATGTTTGGGGTCCCTCTCCTGTTAGTACTTTGTCTGGAATTAAATGGTTTGTTACCTTCGTTGATGATTGCACTCTTATGACTTGGATTTATGTGATGAAGAATAAAAGTGATGTGGGTATGGTGTTTCGATCATTCTTTCAAATGGTTGCAACACAATATTCCTCTCTTATTAAGGTTTTTCGCTCTGATAATGGAGGTGAGTATATTGGTTTCGAGTTGTCCAGCTTTCTTCAGGATCAAGGAATTCTACATGAGACTACTTGCCCTCATACCTCACAACAAAATGGGGTTGCTGAAAGAAAGAACCGTCATATCCTAGAAACTGCCCGTGCCTTGCTCATTGGTGCATCTGTACCTAAACGGTTCTGGCTTGAAGCTGTCACCTATGCCGTGTATGTGATTAACCGTATGCCATCCCGGGTTGTGGATTTTCGTACACCTCTCCAAGTATTGATAGAATTTGTTCCATTAGTGTCAACCAATACTTTTTCTCCTCATGTATTTGGGTGTGTAGCCTATGTTCATATTCACAAGATTCATCGTAGTAAGCTCGATCCATGTGCTCACCGGTGTGTTTTTCTGGGATTTGCTCCTCAACAGAAAGGGTATAAGTGCTACCACCCTGAAACTCGTTATATGTATATAACTATGGATGTTACCTTTTCCGAATCCGAGTTCTTTTATGCTTCGATTCCATCACCTTCCGATCACCCGGGGGAGAATATGAGTGGTGATCTTGGGTGGTTGGATATATGTAGCTCAGGGGGAGTATTTATTGACAAAAAAAAGTTGTGGAAGCTCTCCAGCAAGACACTGCTGAGAATGGAAACAGTGAATCTCGGCAAGACACTGCCGAGAATGTGAGTATCAGTCAGCCAAGTAGCACTGAACCAGTTGAGTCTTCTAGGCAATGTGTTGTCGAGTGTGATGCAGAGTGTCAGCAGGGAGTTGCCGAACCAGTTTCACCGCTCTAACAACCATTAGCTACCGAACCTGCAACCCCTTCTCTCAAGCTCAATAGTGCCACCCAATATGTCTTATCTGAATATTCATGAGGTAAGTACTACTGATACTCATGTAACTAATCCAGATAATGTTATGAGTACATATAAGTTGCCGCCAAGGCAAAATTGTGGTGTTCCTCTTGACAGGTTTTCTCCTGAAAGAAAAGTGAAGTATCCAATAGTTAATTATGTGTCATGCTCAAACCTTGCACCAGAACGTCAAGCCTGGGTAAACAATGTGGAAGCAATCTAAGCACCAACCCGAGTTGAGAAGGCCTTGAAGGATCCTAAATGGGCTACTACGATAGATGAGGAAATGATGGCACTACATAAGAATGATACATGGGAGGTAACGGAGCTACCTAAAGGAAAGAAACCAGTTGGGTGTAGATGGATCTTTACGATCAAATACAAGGCAGATGAATCGGTAGACAGGTATAAAACAAGGTTAGTAGCAAAAGGTTATACTCAAACTTATGGTGTTGATTATCAAGATACATTTTCTCCAGTAGCGAAGATGAATACAGTACGAGTTCTGATTTCTTTAGCTGCAAATTTGAATTGGCCACTAAAACAGTTTAATGTGAAAAATGTTTTTCTTCATGGGCACTTGGAAGAAGAGGTATATATGGATTTTCCTCCGGGGTACGATGCCGGAGGGAAAACTGGAGTATGTAGGTTGCGAAAGTCACTCTATGGACTTAAGCAATTGCCTCGTGCATGGTTTGGTAGATTTACCCAAGTTATGAGGCGGATTGGGTATTATCAAAGTCACTCAGATCATACATTATTTGTGAAATGAGGAAGTGGTAAAGTGACAGCCTTAATTATTTATGTGGATGATATGATAATAGCGTGCTTGACTTGAGTTTGCCAATGGTCATCTCAGCTCTAATCATACCTATTGTTCTTTCTCCTACTTGGTTAAAACCTTGGATCAGGAGGTGACTTCTAGATAGTTCATCCTCCTTAATGCCGATTGTGGTCATTATTGACTTTGGCATGATGTTTATGGCCGATCCACCGTCCATTGCACTGCAAAACAAGACCGCGCCCTTCTTAGAGACTCATTGTAGGAATTGCGCCCCCTGAGGGACCAACCATACTCTCCAGTGCAAGAGGGTAAATCAATTCCTCGACACCTATATGGGTCTGCTCTCCAAGGTGGGAGGATAAACTTACACTCCGAATATCCAAAAGTGGATGAGCTGTGCTTCCCTAGTATAACTAGGTGCACGATGGCTTGCGTCGGGATTCCTAGAAGTAGCCACAATGGCCTTTTTCAAGGTTTAGCTAGCTAAAGGATTTTGGGTCTCTTGGCCTAATCTGCCGAGAACAGGGCTCTAGAGACAAAGGGGGCACATTACGTAATACGCCCTACAGATAGCTGCCCTAGAACCCTAAAGCTGCTACTGAGTGCACTAAGGTAGCCTACAGTTTCCAGAAGACTACCTACGGCTTGCCCTTCGAGCACTAAAACCATGCTAAACTTATACAACCGCACATTCTTGTGAAAGGTTAAACAAGCTAACATGCATATACGAAGCTTTATTCACTGCCGACATATTACGTAGTCGATAAGCTTCATCTCTGCCAAGCGCAGAATGACTTACACTAAGTCCTAAAGTGTTGTGATACCTGCTATGCAACCTATGGAATTAGAGAGAGCCAAGGTTAATAGCCTAGTGGTCACGCGGACTTGTTTGCTTCTGTAAGTAAGGAATTTGACTGCCAACCCTATGGTTAACAACTTTGCAAAGTTTTACACCAACACCTACGATTGCATCGGCTACGCAAGCCTGTCTGTTTATAGAAAAGTATCACGCTTGCCACTGGTCAATAAAATCCAAAGGTTAGGGCATGAACAAAATAAGCGAAGATGGAGAAAAGTGAAGGAAGTAAGTTTATTAAATTTTCTAGCAAAATTGATAAACAACTAGTAAAGACCGAATGAGTTCAAGCAAAGAAAAAAGTAACGAGGAAACCAAAGAAAATCCTAAAGACTACCTAGAAGACTACTCTTTAACAGCTTTGACACTCCACGATTACTCGGTCACCACACCTTCAGCAGTCACACCATCCGGCACTTCACCCTCGGCTGCTCCAGCTTGGGCACCAACATCTCCGACTGCTTCACCAAAAGGGGCCTTAAAAGTAAAGGCATGCAAGTTTTCCTGAGAAATGAAGAAGGTTTCAAAGTCTCTTCTAACAAATTTAAAGTCAGATGGCTTACCAAAGAGATGATCTACATAACCCAGCTTGTAGAAATCAGCCTGACTCTGAACAAGCGAAGCCTCGAGCCCAGCCTTTTCACCTTTTAGCTGCCTGATCTCCTCGAGCATACCAACACGGACGCTCTGCTACTCATCCACTTCTTTCTTCAAACTTTCATTGATCTTCAGTGTACCTTGGAGTTCTAACACTTGGGGTTCAAGCCTATCAACAACCTTCTTGAAGTGGACCACTTGGTTATAAGTAGCAATCAACTCTTATCCTTTGTATAAGCAGCATAACGAAGCTAAGAAACGCCACAC